ATTCTTGGGAGACGTTTAACAATTTCTCAAACCCTCTTTTGAAGCCAAGAAAGCTTAAATTTGAGCAAACTGATTCACATGTTATCTCCCCCTGCCCTCTCCATGCTCTTCTCTGAGTTTCTGTTTTACTTTTTCAAAAGAAGGCAGTAGAGGGACACGACACAACCCCAGCTTGTGTCTGTGAGCAATGCAATGCCTCCAGCACCAAGGCAGACAGGAAGGAGCAGAGACTGGCTATATATAACAAGTTTTGAAAAGGCAGGTCCAGATGAGAGAGGAAAGGGAGATGCTGCATGTAAAGCAAATGTTATCTTCACTGCCTGGTATTGCAAGTGACCCCGCAGATTCAGAGGCCTCCAGTTCCTGGGGCAGAAACTCCCCATGGCAAGATGAGAGCCTACGACTGCAGGTGGGCAATGTGACAGATGACCAGACCCCAGGCATGGCACACCTACCAAATCCCTTCAGCACTGTCAGCACTAGGAGTCACCCTAAAAAATGGTGGGATTAGCATCTCTTAGGTTTTCACCCTCTTGCCTCAATTTTGTCCTGCAAGGATTCTGCCAGCAGTAACACATCTTCTAGCTCTGCCCACAAAATGTCCACATATACAGGGCCTCAAACTGTATTATTTATTAATTCCATCTCAGGCAGCACATAACCTCTAAACACTTTTGTAATACAGACCATAAGCATCACTGCCGATTTTACAGGCTCAAAGCATCAGAAACCCCTCATCACTTATCTTCAGCACCAAGAGTTTAGAGCACCTGCTTGTACTGACTACACAGGCATCAGAAGTAGTGCATTGAAGAAACAGCCTCTGTAATAGATCCTCTCCTCCCTGAATGACAGCTATCCAAAGGAGTTTTTTCTTTCGATCCTTGTATTTTTTAAAACATGCCTCACTAACATGGAAGTGAGAAGCACCAGTTTATATCCAGAACTCTTTGACATCTTGGAGAAAGAGTTCTTTTCCTTGTAAGCCCAAGATACCCAAGCAGAAGGACTTGGGGGTGCTGGTGGGTGGGAGGCTGGACATGACCCAGCCATGGCACTCCCAGCCCAGAGAGCCAAACGTGTCCTGGGCTGCATCCAGAGCAGCGTGGGCAGCAGGGCAGGGAGGGGATTCTGCCCCTCTGCTCTGCTCTGGGGAGAGCCCACCTGGAACCTGCATCCAACTCTGGGCTCCCAGCACAGGGAGGACATGGAACTGCTGGAGTGGGTCCTGATGATCAGAGGAGTGGAGTACTTTCCCTATGAAGACAGGCTGAGAGAGTTGGGACTGTTCAGCTTGGAGAGAACAAGGCTCTAGGGAGAAAACAAAGCTGGAGAAGGACTTTTGTCAAGACAGGGAAAGACAGTGACAGGACAAGGGGCAATAGCTTTTAAGCGCAGCAGGATTAGATTAGATGCTAGGAATAAATTCTTTACTGTGAGAGTGGTGAGGTACTGGAATGGGTTGCCCAGGGAAGCTTTGAATGCCCCATTTCTGGAAGTGTTTGTTCAAGGCCAAGTTGGACGGGTCTCTGAATGACCTGGTCTAGGTAAAGGTGTGCATGCCCACACCAGGGGTCAGGATTAAATGATCTTTAAGGTCCTGGAAGGGACCTTAAAGATGCAATCCAATCCAATCCAATCCAATCCAATCCAATCTATGGTATCCCAGGAAAAAGCCATTTTTAAACCTTAGTGAAAATGAGTACATCTCTAGTGGTTTGTCCTTTGGACAATTCACTGGTTCATACACTTCTGTTTTGTGAATATCCATTTATTACTAGTGTACAGAGTTATCATTTTTCTGATTTTATATCTGGGCATGAAAAGCTATTAAGACAGACATATGACTGCAATATTTACCACACTTGGGTGAACTTTCCCAGAAGATGCTCATGGCAAAAAGGGCAAGAGCATATCTTTTATGTTTGCCATCCCAGCCACACCTGGTGTCTAAATGGGGGTTAGAATTGGCTAAGGAGACAGCTGTTCTGTAAAATAACCTCCATAAATACTTGCACTCACCTGGACAGGACTTGAAAATTACATCCCTGAAATATAGGTGAGCCTGTCTATGAAATTCAGCTTTGCAGACTTCTACTGCATTAAAATGAGCTCTTTTGGAAATGGATCTTTCAGCTGAAGAATTTGACCCCTTGTGCACACCCTCCTTAAAGCAGCAGGCATGTAACTACCCCAATACCAAAATACCAAAAAACCACATGGAAATGGTAGAAGAAACACATTTGACTGGTTTGAAAGTGCTTAGGCCAACACTACTTCTTGAGAGCAAATTTCTATTAGAAAAACCTCAACCAAAACCAATACCACAATACTGTTCTGCATCTCCTAAGGAATGTAACAATTTGGGGAAAGGACACCTGCAGGAAATACCTGGATTTAGTTGCTTTTGGGCTTCTTAGAGAAACCAAAATTTCTCTGAATTCTTGAGATTTTACTGCAGCAAGCACATTCTGCTTTCTGATATCCCATTTAAGATACTCATTAGCATGCAGCTCTAAACTGAAGCATAAATCCAAAATGCTTATATTACCTTGTATTAGAGAATTGCATAGTCTTTAAAGGCTTTCAGCTTAAAGCTGAATTATAGTATTACCCCAGTCCTGATTTGTTCTTTTCAATTATAAATAACAGCAAGTGAACCATAAAAGCACACTTAAAATTTGGCAGCTTCTGGTAAGAGATTAAACCTCATTCAGCTAATGCATTTGTTGCAGAGCCAGACAGCAGGGATTGTAAACTACTCTCTAAAGACTGCTAAGAAGAAAACTGTGGGCCTCTGAAATGAGTACCTGGCTATTTTACCATACAAAAAGCCTGAGCGGTTCAGTCACACATATCCTGTGTGAGACATCACATGCTTTCCAACGACGATGGGGGAGGGGCAGGCAGGAAATTAAAAACCCCAGAATCATGTATGTTACAATAAATGCTGGTTTGTTGAGGAAATGGAGGTTTTGGAGCTACCTGTTGCTATCAGACCCTTTCCCCATGCTTATGGGAGTACAGGAATCACAGGATGACTCCTGCTTTTTATGTTCATACTGATAAGTGAGTTTTGAGCTCAAAAAGGAGTATTTCTGAGTTCTGGGTGGGGAAATTACATGTCAGAAGTGTCCACAAAGTGCACACCCTGTATTCTTCACGGCGGTCTTAGAGACACATGAGATGCTGCTCAGGGCAGACTCAGCTCTGACCAATGTGAGAGGCATGATACAATTGTTTAACAAATGCTGTTTGCTACCAAAACCTGAAAAGAACAGAGAAAAAAAAAAAAAGAACAACAAACAGTTTCTCACCTACATGCTGGCTATAAATCTTGACGCCTTGACGGTGCCAGGCTGCAAGTGACAGCACCACCCCACAAATACTGAAGTAACACAGCAAGAAAACATTTGCCTGCTCTATCGTAAAGAGCTACTTCTTCTGTGGCCCTGTTGCTCTCTTGACCATCTGTAACCACTGCCAGCAGCGTCATAGGGCCTTTGGCAAATTCAGTGAACGGCACTGGGGATGCTACAAAGATGATTTAAAACATCTTAAATGATCCTTCAGCAACCAACTCCAGTAACACTTTGAATCTTGGGGTCACTAAGAGCATTTCTCTAATCTCCGGGCATTTCCAAAGCACATGACTCACTCCTGACAGGATCAGACTAAGTGGAGACCATTCAAAGCAAAGCCATATTCATAAAGAGTTGCCACATCCACTCTCTGAGGACAGGCTTGCACAGCCACTTTCAGCATAAGTGATGTAGGGGAAAAAAGCGAAAGATATGAATAAAAAACAAGAACACAAAACACAGGACAGTTTCTTTTAGTGACCTCAAAACCACCTTCCTAAAATAACAAAACAGTTGTTTGTAATTCAGATGCATTGATCCATAAAGAGCTGACCAGCAAGCACCAAGAGAAACTATGATTTTTTCTGTCGGTTCCGTAAACGGAAAACCACAGGTAGCTTCTCTGAAGTCTCTTCCCCCGATGTTATCTCTGATAACAAAGGTACCTATGCTGAAATGGCACACTTGGCTCAAGGGCTCAAGGGCCCAAGGTGTGGCCAGGCTACTGTCAACCTGTGATGCCAGCAGGCCATGGTAACAGCCCTGCCATCTGCGCAAGAGTGTCTGTTCGAGGAGCAGCAGTTACAAGCAACAAGTTGGGTGCGAGAGCCTTCTAAAGGTACCAAAAAAATCTGAAATTCCCCTTGTCCCCAGCTCTGCCTTGTGACAAATCTAGCAGATCAAAATAGCTCCAGCTCATCACATAGTAAAAATGAGACCACCAGCAGGCTGCAAACCCGCCGAGATCCTGCCAGCACATGCCAGCACCCAAGCGGTCGTGGAAAAAGTCTATGGAGAGCACAGCTTCAGTGCAGATAAAACACACGCCAGGCTGCCACGTATCACGGTACTGCATCACAGGACCAAATATGTCCAGTGGAAAGCGCCGCTGGGATACATAATAACTGTGCTCATGACCCTGCCTCGGAGCTCATTTTAAATCCGTGCCGCTCATTCAGCAGGTCCGCGGACAGAGAAAGGCTGCGAAAAGCCTGCACAGCGCAAAAAGCCCTCCTGAGCTCGCATTGCGCAAGAGCAGCATTTTGGGTAGAGTTCCGAGAGGAAATTACCCAACCCCGAGGACAACCAGAAAGAAACCTAGCCGGGCGGGGTGGGAGCGCTTCCCGAGCGCCCAGTGGCTCCGCTCGCCGCCGCCGCGCCCGGGCAGCATCCGCGCCGCGCTCCCCTGCGCACCGGCTCCCCGGGGATTCTCCCACAATCCCCCTCCGCCGCCGGCACACCCGGGAGCGGCGGCGCCGCTGTCACAGCGCGCCCGCTCCCCCGGCGAGGCACCCACGGCGCACCGGGAACCGGCGGCGGCCGCCCGCGCCTCCTCCCCGCGGCCCGGGCGGCGTCGGGCACCCGCGGGCGGCGGGGCCCCCGCCCGTCCCCCCGCAACCCCGCCGGGACGGCACTCACCGAGCAGCGGGGAGGGCTCGGGGCAGGGGCCCGAAGGCGGCTCGGCGGGCGGGGACCGGGCCCGGGCGGCGGGCGGCGACGGGCGGGAGAGCGGCAGCGAGAGGTTGGCGGGCGGCGGGCGGCGCGGCGGCGGCTCGGGGCTGCCCGGCGGCCCCAGGGCGCTGCCCGCCAGGTAGTAGAGCAGCGTGGCCGAGAGGTGGAGGGCACAGAAGGCGACGAGGAGGCGGCAGGCCCGCTGCAGCGAGGTGCCGGGCAGCGACGGCTCCTTCATGCCGCTGCGCTGGCGGGGAGCGCCTCCCGCCCCGCGCCGCACCGCCGACGGGGACCGGGACGGGGCGGGGGCGGCGGCGGCTCCGCCCGCCGGGGGCGGCCCCGAGCCCCGCGCCCCGCCCGCCTCGGCCGGGAGGGCCGGCGGGACCCCCAGCGCCGCCCGGCCTGGGCATCCCCTCCCGCCCCGGCCTCCCGCCCCGCTCCCCGGGCCCGCTCCGGCCGGCCCCTGGGAGCGCAGCCCGCCGTGGCTGGCCCTCCTACACGGTGCCCGCTGGCAGCGAGCTGGACCCGTCGCTGTAGCAGCCCCCAGAAGCGCTCGCCTGTGGCAGAGGGTGTAAGGGGCAGCAGCGACCTGCTGCGGGGCAACCAGGGCTGTTTGTATTCGTGCCCCTTGGAGGGCTACACGCTGTCTTCGCTTTTATCTGCAAAAACTGTAGCTTTTCTGTCAGCTCGGTGGAGCTTGTTTCAGCTCATTTCCTGCATTTAAATCATGTAGCTTTTTGTTAAATATATCACAACATCCTAGCAGTGCCAGTGGCAGGGTCTTCTGGAGGTCTCCAGTCAAACATCCTGCTTGGAGCATGACTATTGCCGGCAACATGTGAAGTCAGCTACAGTTTTGTCCCACTGAGTCTTGAAAGTTGCCCAGCATGGCAATCTACACCTCTCTGGTGCCCTGTCCCAGAACTGATCCACTTTTCTGAGGAAAGACTTTCCTCACTTCTATCATCTAGCCAGTAGTAGTGGCTGTTGAAGCAGGTCTGGGCACTTCCCAACATCCCTCAAAGTTAGTTACACGTTTCTTATAACTAGCGAGTCCTTGACCCGTTAAAGAAACTGCCTTGATTCTACAGGAAGAAACCTATCCTGTCTCGGCCAGCAGAGATGATGGGCAAGGTCTTATAGTACTGTCTTACTGCAGGAGCAGGGGACACAGGGAGACAGTACTAACCTTGCTGTTCCCCTGGGCACTGCAGGCATTTCACTCGCAGCTGACTGGAAAGCAATCAGTGGGACATTGGTGACTCACAGGGTGAGACTGACAGCCGGCCAGGCAAAATCCTGTTCGTGGTCTGGCAGACTTGCATGTCTCTGGGCTTCAGAGTGCTTCACGTACACCGTGCGACACTCAAGTGGTTTTAAAGTGCAATAAATAACTCCTGGTAGTAGCCCTTAATGCTGCCACTCATTTGCTCTCACAAAAGCAGAGTAACTGCAGGGAGAAAGTGAATCTCATTCTTCTCATGGGTAAAAACTACTTTATAACAACACACACACCCACACACACACACACACACACCCACACACACCCCCACACACACACACACCCACACACACCCACCCCCACACACACACAGCCCCCTGCGCGCCTGCGCTGCTCCTGCTGTCCTCAGCTCTCATGGATCTGCTGATTTCAGCAGCCTCTGGTGCTGCCTGGTGGGATGCCAGAGTGACGAGAACGAGCTATCCTGCTGCCAAAGTGCATGACCAAAGACATCTGCTTCCTCTTTTCTGTTCACTTAGAAGTTTCTCAGTTCTTCCTGAGACACTCTGCAAGTTAGCCCAGTAGTCCCCTTGTGCTTTGTTTAAACCTGATGTTGCAAACAACATGATGGCAATTCCAGGGTCCATGATGCTATAATGACACCATCACTGATGGCACTGATATTCTCAGTCAACATTCAAACAAGCATCAGCTAATAATTGCCTTCTTCAATGAGTAAACCTATCTTTCAAAACCTTCAGGCTCTTCAGACATCTTTAATGGATCAATTGGTAAAAGGCAACCCACAATGTGAGCCAGCAGAAAATCCATTTTGCAGGACTAGCAGGTCAGTCCAGAGTTTCCATGTTTCTCTACTGTCAGAAATAACTGGACTTGTTCTAGTGAAATTTGTCTTTCTCTTCTTTCAGTTTTGAACTGAGCACTTGTAGGGAAAGTGGTGCATTGTGAACCAGACCTCAGCTGTGACTCAAGGCACAGTCAGCTCAATCTCCCATGACATTACCATATATGCCATCTTTCAAATTTGTCCAGCAACAGCAAAATAAGTGACAGCACAGTGTTCAGTAAAAACATCAGAGTTAGGAAATGTCTAACACAATATTCCATGGGTCCGCTGTAGCTCCCCACCATGAATGCCTGCTATGTTTTATATGAATCCTATGAAAACATTGCCATTTTTTCCATGGGACCACTGTCTTGCTTGGTCTCAACATGTCTCTGGAAGTAGAGCAAGGCTTTGTGATTAAAGAAGGCCCTGTTGCTGGAAGGGATCATTCACAGTCTGCACCACTCAAGTGTGCAATGATATGTGAATGGTAAATACAGACTTACAGATCCAAGCAGGTAACTGCACACCTATTTTTTACATAGAGGTAAGGTGTCCTAATGAGCCCATGGGTGAGGAAATAGAAATATAGGCCTTACAGGAGAAGTAAAAATGAGCATGTGTTTGTGCAAGGTCTGGCTGCTCACACTGCATGCCAGCCCTCTCCAGTTTTCACCATTGCAGTCTACACTCCAGCCCAACCTGTAAGGAGTCCTTGGAGATCTCACTTTTCCAGTCACACCACAGTCCACTCCGACCTCATCATATTGTGATGTTCTTTTTTGGCAGTTAATTCTCAGTCTTTTTCTCCTGACAAAAAATTACTGCTTGACTATAATACTTTGCTACACATGAATACATCTGTCCATCCATCATGCCTAATGACTCCTAAGTCTGATTCTAATCAAACTTGGCAGTTTGAAGAGATTGTAAACATCTAGAATACCTGCTGAAACAAGCCATCAGGGTGCAACTGAGTGAAAGTTCACTGGTAATGTGGTAGTTAGGTAGTTAGGCATTTGTAGTTAGTCATCAAAGTATGAGGAGAAAGAAGGAAGTTATATGCCCCATATTTCAGCAAGAAAAGCAAAGTTCTCAAGCCGCATGGCAGAATCCGGGAAAGGATGTGAATATTAATCAGATGGGAGGTTCTCAGTCAGACAGCCCATGTGCTGGGGTCAGTACTTTCGCCAGAGCAGTAGCACCATGTATTTCCACTGGGCAAGTTCTCCTCAGCTGAAGAGCAGTGTGTGGTCACCACCAGCCCTGCAGGGAAGTGTCCACATGAAAATGCAGTGCCCCACAGCAAAACACGGCCCATCTGCATGTGTGCTCCTGCGGAGCTGCAGGTGGCTGGGACAGTGGAGGTGCAGTAGCTGTTCTAGCCCTTCTGAGTCAAACCTCGCAGGAGCCTTTCTGGACAGGGAGGGCACAGCCCCCAGCAACCCTCCTGTCTGCTTATTCCAAGCTCAGCATGCATCACGTCAACTCCTCCAGGATGAGTGAGAGTTGGGGCTTGTGACTCTGCTCTTCAGCATGGTTGTGGCAGCCCTGAGCATCTATGGGACAAGAGCAGGCCCCACATGTGTGAGCAGACCTGGATTGTGCTAGACTAAAGCCCACAGCCCAGGGTCACTCACAAGAACAAAAAATATGCAGTGCACAGCCCCAGGGCATGAAAGTGGCACCTGGGATGAGCACGGCTTGGGCAAGAAAGGGGCAAGAGGAGAGGTCAGAAGATATTGTCAGGATTTGGGGCCCAGCTAGATGGGGAGGGGTTTTGTAGAGTGGTGGGTGGCAGCAGATCTGTGAGTGTGTGGGGTCTGTGCCAGGGTACCCTGGGCTGAAGGTGTCCTCTGCTGGCACCGTGCTCCCGGGCACTGGCAGGGAGCGCAGGCACTGTGCAGCTCCCCAGAGAATCCAGCCCAGCTCTCTCCACAGAAATGCTGCTTCCAGGGATGCCAGCAGGACAGAAACATGCTCCCACTCCAGCAGTGTGGGCTGAGGGGACATGCCCTCGTTGACATCTTTGTTTCTTGGATTTACAGGACCTATTAAAGTGATCTGATAGCTTTCCATAAGGTATCGCTTTCCTTAGTATAAAACTGCAGTAACCCAGACTAATGATATTGGTATTTTGTCTGTCTTTATTTATTTCAGAGTGTGCTTGCAGCCCAGAAAGCCAATTGCATCCTGAACTGCATAAAAAGAATTGTGGCCAACATGTTGAGGGAGGTGGTTCTGCTTTGCTCTGGTGAGGCCTCACCTGGAGTGCTGTGTCCAGCTCTGGGGTCCCCAGAAGCAAGATGTGCACCTGCATAGAGTGTAGTCCCGAGGAGGCCATGGAGAATATCAGAGTGCTGGAGCAACTCTCTTATGAAGACAGGCTCAGAGTGTTGGGGTTGTTCAGCCTGGAGAAGAGAAGGCTCCAGGGACCAGCCTTTCGATAGTTAAAGGGGGCTTTACAAGAGAGATGGAGGCAGACTTTTTTTGTTTTAATCAGAGCCTATAATAACAGGAAAAGGGACAAGACTATCAAATTGAGTGTAGATTTAGACTGTTCAGTGAGGGTGGTGAGACATTGTAACAGGCTGCTCAGACAAGTTGTGGATGCCATATTTGTGAAAGTGCTCAGCTTGTATGGCACTTAGAACAACATGGTCAAGTGAAAGTTCTTCCTCTTCATGCCAGGGGGTTGGACTAGGTAATATTTTATAGGTCCCTTCCAGCCCAAATCGTTCCATGTTTTTTCTTCTGTCGCTCTCTCCGAGGCCTGCAGAAGCCCAGGGCTGTCCCCGGTGCCTTTCCCCGTCCCACTGGCTCCGGGTCAGTGATGTGTGGATGCTGTGTGACGGGCGGGCAGCATCCCTGCCCAGCACCCGTCAGGCACATTCCTCTGCTCTCTCCTAGAGCTGCCGTGGCAGCAGGGCAGAGAGAGCCCCGGGGCAGGGCATGGCTCCGGGCTGCCTGCAGGTCACCCTGCTGCGGGGACATGAGCCTGAGTGTCACAGCACGGCTCCTGCTCCCGGGATCCCGCTCCTTGCTCCTGTGAGAGCCGGGGAGCTCTTCTGCCCGGGCACTGGCTTAGAGGGAGGATTGGGAAGGGCTGACTTCATTTGGAGGGACAGGTAGCAGCAAAGGAACAAGCTAAGAGAGGCAGAAAGCTCTG